ATAATAATCATATACATTGTATATTGACAAAATAAAAATTAAAAATAAAAAAATAAAAAAATAAAAAAATAAAAATGATTAAAGTAGTAAATCTTACATGTATTTTGCCACAACTGGAAAACTGTTTTTAAATGTTAAAGTAAGAAATTAGGCCTAGAAATCGATTCTTTGAAGGGAAGCCTAACTGATTTCTATTGTTTATTTCAGATTCCAGATGAATTAAATGATTTTGAAATATAAGACTTTAAAATTTGTTTTCTGTCATCCTAGAGAATCTCATGTATTGTCTTTTTATTCTTTTAGACTTTATAGGCCATTTTATCTTCAGCTGACCAATATACCTTTTATAAATTATTCTATTCAGAAGCCCTGCGGTCCATTTGATGTAGATAAGCTGTCTAGCATCCAAAAGCAAACTCAGGCTAAACTAAGGTTGGTTTCAATTTTTCCTTTTAGATGGAATATTATTTCAAATATCTCAAGTAGCTTTTTCTTTTAAAAAAAAACATTTGAAACAGTTCATTTTATGTTATGGTGGTGGTGATTGTGTGTTTCTAATCACTACTCTGATTATTTTTCCGCCTGTATATTTTTAATGTTTCTATGCTAGATTTGAAGTCTTAATCTGTTTTTGTTTTTTTTTTTTTGTCTTTTTTCCGTGTCTGGCAACGGATCGCAACCCTCAGTGTTGCCCCCGTACCGGACCGGGGACCGGCAACGGGATCGCAAGCCTCGGTGTTGCTCCTGCGCCTCGCTCAGCCAGTGAGCGGGAACCGGTCTGTATATGGGATCCGAACCCTCGGACGGGAGCGCCACCGCGCTTCCCAAGCAGCGCACTATCCAGTGCGCCACCGGGCCGGCCCTTAATCTGTTTTAAGTGTGTCATATTTAGACACTTTAGATAGTTGGGGAGGAGAGTATTAAAATATTTGCAAATCAGAATGTGTTGTTTCTCTTGAGTGATCTGTAATATTCTCCAGAATATACATTACTTTCTTAGTTCACTTTTTAATTTCTTAAAAAGAAATGTGGTTAAAAGTATTTGCTGACCTAAGTTGCTGTGCAAATTATGGCAGATTCTGTGTGTGAAAAGTTATGACAATAAATTTTAAAAGTTGTTCCTTAGGTTCAGCAGTTAATTCTTTTACCATGTATTTCTATCATCAGAATCCAAATGGATGGCAATAAATGTGGTGGAACCCCAATTCAACTCCAGTTGAAAGAGAAGAAAAAAAAAGGATATTGTGAATGTTGCTTACAGAAATATGAAGATCTTGAAACTGTAAATGTGATTTTATATTTAGGGGATTGATGTTTCTAAAACTCTGAATAATATTTGCTGTTTAAATTTTAGTTTGTTCTTGTGATTGTGGTTTACAAACTTGATAATTATAGGTAATGTATATTTGTTTTTGACAGAAATATCTTAAATTTTAAGAACCCAAACGAGGGAAATAAATTTTGAAAGATCATTTTTATTCATTCATTCATCAAATATTTATCGAGCATTTTTTTTTTTTTTTTTTTTTGCTCTTTTATTGAGCAAAAAAGACCAATTTCCTCCCCTCGTGAAGATCACATTCTGTGGGGAAAGTGGATAGGGGTGGGGGTAGGGCAGAGATAGTGCTATGAAAAAACATAAAACAGGAATGGGGATGTTGCTATTTATGTAGATGAGCCAAAGAATACCTAAATAAAAAGGTGACATTTGAGTAGAGACCTTAGAGAATTGAGGTAACAGTAGATATTGAAATAAGCAAGCATGGAAGTCCTGAATTAAACTGATTGATGGGATCAAAGAACAAATGATGGTGGCCTGTAATAAGCAGTGGTAGAGGAAGTGCTGAGACCTGGTCAGATGGTGGGTAGATTTTAAAGGTGGGGTTAAGAGGATTTGCCAATGGATTGGATGTTGGGAGTGAAAGATATTGAGTAAAATGCGACTATAATATTTTGGGTCCGAACAATTAAAAAATGGGTTGTTATTTACTAATGGGAAGAGAAGAATTGAGGAAAATGGAGACAATTCTTTGGGGCAGGAGGAAGAGAAATAGAATGGTTGGAAGGGTATAGGGGATGAAGATAGAATTTTAAAGATGAGAACTATTGCAGTTTGTAAGCAGATAAAAAGAGTTAAGAGCTCTGGAACAGGCTGCCTGGGTTTGAATCCTGGCTTCCTGTCTGGGTGACCTTGGACAGTGCCTGGCACATAGTAAGTGCCTATTAATGTTAGTCGTCAATTTGATTTTAATTTTTTAAACAGTAGATAATTTGTTTTGGTGTTTGGTTTGGTATAAGATGGTGGGAAAGTTAAGGAGAAAGAATAGTACTTTAAAATATCTTATTCATAAAGTATCTCTGTCTTCAGATTCTAAATTGAAGTCTGATTGTTTTATAATCCAAAATATATTAGTGCTTCATGTCAGTTTTTTGTGTTTTGTTGAAATAATAAAGGAGGAAAATGCAGTTAGTTTAATATTGCTCATAATCAGAAGGTTAAGTATTTCCCCTATCCAAAAATCATTTTGAAAATTAAAATTACAGATTTGGTCCTGAAATTTTACTTTGCTATTGTAGCAATAGAATAATCTACAGTGGATGCTTTCCTTAATATTGGTCTGTGATCCTAATTTGATGCTCAGAAAATCTTGGGACTAAAAAACACAAAAATTGACCACTGGTTACCACAAAGAAGGAAAATTAGTGAAAGTAGATGTTGGGATTAGAATTTAAGATCATGTTTTTAGTTTTTCTTTCCTATGTTTGTCTCTAAGAATAAAGAAAATATTCTTTTGTTTTTTGAATCTTAGATTTCACAATGATTCAGTTCCACCTGTATCAGGAGATTAATTTAACATTTTTGAGTACTGGAGATAAAGCAATAAACAAGGCAGACATTCTCTACCATTAGTTATAGTCTGACAGAGAAGATAGCTATAAAACACGTACAATCATATATCGCTTAATGAGACCAGAGTCGTATTTGTGGTCCATCGTTGACCAAAATGTCATTACACGGTACATGACTGTATTTGCAAGCATGATGAATGTCAAAAAAGTGAAGTATGAAGGTGTAGTTGTAATAAATAATGAGGTGACTTAACCTAGAATGAGAGTCATAGAAGGCCCAATTGAGAAAGTGACATTTAAATCAAGACCTAAAGGATGAGTAAGAACTAGGTGGAGGTAGAGGGGAACTACACAAAAGTTGGAGATTGTTTTACTTAAAGTAATTTATTTAAATTAATAAATTATTTTTTTTCTTCCCAGAACACAGATAGACTGAATCTGAACTTACAGATTTCTTGTTTCTTTTTAAATTTTAATTATTTCTCATTTTTTTAACATTACTGAGCATACATAATTTGTAAGATAAGTAAAGTGTTGTAAGGAAGGAATACATATGTATTCCAAGATGCATGTTGTTGTTTTTTTTTTTTTTTTGTAACCAATGGAGAATTTAGTTTTTGGAAATGCAGTCAAATGATCAAAATTTTAAATTATGTAAAACTGGGGAAACAGAAATGAGGTTTTTCTATGGTCATCTTGGTGCAAGCATCTAGATACATACAATTTCCTGATCAGCTGACAGATGATAGAATTAGCCTGGAGATTCCACCTATTCAGAAGGCACTTTGTTTCCTATGAGTTTTATCCCAATATTCTGTGAACTTGTTTTATGATTACTCTTAAAATTGAGGGTAACTTCTTTGTATTCTATATTGTGAGTTCTTAAGTAACTGAGATCATTTGTTTGTGCATTCTCTAATGTGTTTTTCAGTTATGAATATTGTTTTTAATACTTTGTAGCATTTAATGTGGTTCATGTGTGTGTTTATTTAATCTACCTTCTAGATCCTTGTATGTTTTGGATTCTTGTATGTTAATTTTTAGTAGTCACTTAAGTAAGCCCTACCTTGCTTAGTGTTAATTGTATAAACGTAAAGTAGTACAGGGAAAAGTGTTTACCAAAAATATTAGCACACACTGATTGTTAAATGTTACTGTTGTTTTTCTCCATCTTTATCTTTATTTTCTGATATAGCTCATTCTTTTCAGTTCCCATGTAACTACAAATTAGTACTTGACTTTTCTCACTGTCAGAAAAACGGAAGACTGTAAATCCAAAGTAATTTTAGTGGTTTCTCAGAAGTTACTTTTATTTTACTTCTTAACATCCTTTAAAGTTGAGTAAAAGTATATTTTCTTCGGAATAGTTATTGGAAATCTAATTTTAGGGGCATAAAAATGTTAGAAAACCTGAACACAAAGGCATCTGTTGATTTAAAAATATAATTTTATGACTAAACGCTTTTTATTTTGTTTTAGCACCTTCTAAGTGAACAACACAGAAACTTTGCGCAGAGTAACCAGTATCAAGTTGTTGATGATATTGTATCTAAATTAGTTTTTGACTTTGTGGAACATGAAAGGGACACACCTAAAAAGAAAAGGTAATTTATCTTAAATTCTACTAGAATATTAAACTATTCTATTAAACTAAAAATAAATCCAAAGTTTGCCTATTCTTAGAAGGAATATGTGTTTTCAAGGACATAAATCTGATTAGGAACTAATAACTTCTTTCCTCCCTTATTTCCCCACTATCAAGTGCTTACCTTAGATTACTTTTAGTCCCCTTCTTGACATTATAGTTTAGGAGAGAAATTGGCAGACTTTTTCTGTAAAGAGCCAGATAGTTAATATTTTAGATTTTATGAACCATAAGATCTCAGTTGCAACTACTCAGCTTTGCCGTTGTACAGTGGGTGTTGACTATGTTTCAGTAAAACTTTGTTTAGAAAAATAGACTGAAGGCTAGATTTTGTCCACAGGCTATGTAGTTTGTCAACTCCTGGTCCAGAATCATAAAGTTTATCATCTGCTCAGACTAAAAAGGCTTACAAAACTTTTAATCTTAAGTTTTATGAAACCTTCCTCCACTTGTCTCTATTAAGTCTTCTTTATCCTTTCACTAAATATTTCTTTTTAAACTCTACTTGCTGATAATAATTGTTTTGTTTTGTTTTCTATAAAGAATAAAATACAGTGTTGGATCCCTTTCTCCTGTTTCTACAAATGTCCTGAAAAAGACTGAATCAAACGAAAAACTAGAGTTGCGACATATTTCTCAGAAAGACTTCAGAGGAAATAATATACAGGTGATTGAGCAGAATTTCCTGTATAAAGAAACCCAGGAACCTGACCAAAAGCGTGTGTTTGTTTCAGAACCTATCCCCTGCCCTTCAAATGAATTGAGACAACGTAATGAGAAAACAACTAATAAATGTTCGACGTTAAATCTAGCTGAAAATGACATAAAAGAGAATTTTACACAGCTGCCTCCACATAAAAATAAACAGGAATGCATTCTTGACATTTCTGAACATAAGTTAATTATAAATGAAAATGGCTTAGAAGAAATAAGGGTAGGTTGCTGTCCATGTAGGCTACAGGCATCTACACAAGTTTCTAGTTGCAATAAAGATAATAGCTCATCTCAACTAAAACAAAAGTCAAATGCTGCGTTTTTTCCAGCAAAGGATCTGAGGGAAAAGGACCTTCATTCAGTATTTGGTCATGCTTCTGGTTTGATAACGGTAAACAGTTCACAAGAGCATGTAACAATTCAGGCAAAGACTCCCTCCCATAATCTTCCTGAGGAACCCAATGAATGTGACATCAAAAATATGGATAGTTTGCCTTCTGGTAAAATCCATCGAAAAGTGAAAATATTGGGACGAAATAGAAAAGAAAATCTGGAACCAAATGCTGAATTAGATAAGAAAAGAACTGAATTTCTTATTACACAAGAAGAAAACAGAATTTGTAGCTCACCAGTACAATCTCTACTGGAGTTATTTCAGACTAGTGAAGAGAAATCAGAATTTTTGGGTTTTACAAGCTACACGGAAAACATGGGTATATGTGATGTTTTAGATATTTGGGAAGAGGAAAATTCAAATAATCTGTTGTCAATGTTTTTCTCTTCCCCTTCAACTTCTACATTTACTGGCTTTTAGACTTTAAAAAAATAAATATGTTTCAAAAATGATAAGGATCATATTGAAATTTTTATAAATATGTATAAAAGTTCTTAGGATTCTTTTGCCAACTTTGTTTACAGAACCAAATGTAAATATTAACAATAAAGATGATTGCAATTTTCTACAGAATTGAAAACCCATCATAGGAAAATTATAGAATAAACTTGTGACTTGTCTTATTTTACTATAATTGTTTTCTGGGAATTTTAATGAATATTATAGTTTGCTTTATGTCACTGAAAACTAATTTCAAGTGAAATTTTGAGAATATAAAAAGTTACCATAAATCTAGATATTATGATTATATCTATTGTCTATTAAAATAGATTCCCATGTTGACATGACGTTATTGTTATTTAAAACCTAAATTCCATGCAGAAAGGAAAAAATACTAATTTCTATATGAATTCTGGAAGTCATTATCAGGAATAGATACTTGATCATGAGCCAGTTGGACCATGCTAGTATTGGCACTGAGTAATTAGATTATTTGTAGAGGTAAATAGAAGCCATGAAGTAAAAACCAGGCTACCATATGGAATATAATTATTCTGCTGTTCTTATTTACCTTTGTAAATAACTTTGAGAGTAATTTCTTTAAAAAGTGACTATTTACCCCCTAATTTGACATTAGGAAATAAAAGGAGGATGACATTGAAATATATATATGGTTTTGAAATATATGTGAGGATTGCCTTGATCTGGCACTTATTGGTACAATGATTTAGAGAAGAGAAAATTCAAATGTAAGAAACATTTCTACTCTTGTCTGTAGATATAAGGCATTTGCCTTTGAGTATGTTCTAGGACTGAGGCAGTTAAAATCAATGGCATTTGTTCACAGTAAAATTAGGTGCCATTGAATATTACATGAATATGTTGTAACTAAAAATTTACTTTGGTTACCAATTTTTTTGATATGTGGCTCTTAGTATAGAGTTAGTTCATGTGCTTTCATATGTATATTATTTTGACCATCTGGGCAATATCAGTGAGAAATACTGGCTTTTCGGCAGCTTTATTGTTCATACTAGTACCTTTACCAGGAGCACAGAAAGAGTCTTTACAGAGCATGTGTGCAAACCTTGTTTCCATTGTAAATTGCTACTGTAACATTTTCTGTCACAAATGCATGTGTGTATGTGTGAATCTGCATCAGGTTTTTTAGACAGCATTCTAAAAATATAGGTGAAACTTGAAAAATTGTATTTTTTTTCCATTCAGTTATGTGTATTCCTCACAGTTTGCCAAAAAATTAATATTCACGCTTTGTCCTTTGACTTTAGAGTGACAGTATATTCAATTTGCAGTGGTACTATAGTTTGTACTATAGTTTGCTCCAGAGTTGTTTGGTTTCATTTTGCCTTGGCTGTTTTTAATGAGAAAAAGACTGAATCCTCCAGTAGTTAAAGTTGTTAAACTTCATTTTGATACTGTTTTGAGCAATTATTTTGAACACTGGACTTTTAGAACACCCCCAAGATCTTTATAAACTACTCAGCTTTTAAAAATGATTAAATTATTTGGAACAATGCTATAAATTGTAGTAGGACCACCACATGGAGTTTGCAAGTGTGCTATGCACATGAGCACTGAGTCAAGGGAATGAATACAGGTAGAAATCCAGTCTGTTACCTGCAGAAGTAGTGTGCCCTGGCAATGAAGGTGCATTTACCTAGAAGTAGGAGTATTTTTTCCAAGGCACAGCCGAGTTGCCTTTGGGTTGTGTCTACCCAGAAGGTAACAGCATTTAATTGTGGTTTGGTTCCTCCCAGATACACTCATGAAAGACACTTTATAATGTAACAAGGCACCTTCAAAAGTAGGAATCTTCAAAGATTCCTCAGCAGGATAGATAGGAAACTCTTGCTTTGCTTGATAGAAAGTGACATGCTTTGCCGAAAGTGTCCAAACAAAAATTCCCCAGCAAGCACATGATAGTAGAATTCTGTGATATCAAGAACACTGAAGTTGAAAGGTGGTAGGAAAGGAAAACAAAAAAAGGCAACCTAATTTAACTTTCAGCTAAGGACAACAGGTAGTGTAGCATTCAAAGTTAGTGGCTCTGTTTTTCTAGGGGTGGATAGGAACAGCAGTGGTGAAGATAATGTGGTTTTGTGACTTGAAAACGTTTATTTTTCTAAGTTGACATGCAATGGTAGCAAAAGGTGTATTTTACACAATACAATCTCAAATGGTTTTTGAAGCCAATGACTTCTTTGCATGCATACTTTAGTATTATATCTAATATTTAAAAAATTTATGGAACCATATACACAGCTGTTTCTAATTCTAATGTTTGTAATTCGTGGAGAACCCTAATAAATATGAAAGCAAAATATACCTATATTTAAAAGGAATAGAAAACATGATTATGTGTGTGAAACTTTTACCTAAAACCACTGAACTTGAATTCTTATTTCCAGAATGTAGGGTTATTTTATGTTACCAGAATAGAATTTTTTTTTAAATGCACTTTGTTGCTAGGATGGATGTGCAGTTAATACTATTCTGCTATCTAAAGGATATATTAACATACTTAATGTTATATATTTATTTAAATGTTATCAATTTCTGTAAATGTAGTTTGGACTGTGAAATCAGTGAAAGTTTTTATTTTTCATTTAATATAGAAATATATTATGATGAACTCTTGGAAACAGAATTATTCTTAACTGATTTAGAAAATTCAAAACTCATGAGATACAGAAAAGAAATAAAGGGAAAAACTTTAGATCATAATGAGAAATGAGAGCTTGATTTCAATCTCCCATAACAAAGTGTGTCAAAGAAAATAATAGTTACATACGTAACAATATATATAAAGATTATTATAATCTAAAAAATTTATGTTAAGTTAATGTTTGATTAAAATTTTTACATCAATGGTGCTTTGTAGACTGATTAATAGTCTTTTTTTCTTGATTATTTAAAAAGATCAAAATTTGCAAACCTTTATCTAGACTGACCAAGAAAAAGACAAATTACTAAAATCAGAAACAGCCATAGCATAGTAGATCAGTTGCTTCTATTACACTGGAGCGGGCATTGAGGAGAGAAATTGTTATTTCCAGTCTCCGCTGGTGACTGTCCTTGCATCACTGCAGTTCAGTGTCTGTCGGGATGCCTGCATGGTAGCTGTGGGTAATGCTGTCGCATCAAGCTGCTTTTGCCCGTGGTGGTGGCTGTGGTGGGCCACCTGTGAGGAAGTTGTGTTTTCAGCTTGCTCCTTGCCTGTTTTTGAGCAGGGGATGCTGTGCTGGCCTCCTGCCTGAGGACACTGGGCCAAAGAAAGTTTTATTTTACACCTTTCAGTTAGAAATCACTCCAATGGTGTTTCATTAATAAAGTGAGATGTAAGAATGACGGGCCTCTTCCTATAGGAGATGAAAAGGTTTTTAAGCATAATGAAGAATGTAAACTAAACCCTCACTGGGCTAGCTGGATTTTATTTCTTTTTTCAGAGAGTAATATTTTTATTTGAATAAACAATAAATTAAAAGGTGATTCCATTCCATAAGCTGCATTTTTTAAATTTAAATTTATTAAAAAGTGTTGATTATACATATTTGTGGAGCACAGTTATATTTCAATACATGTATACAATGTGTAGTGATCAAATCAGGGTGGTTAGCCAATAAAATTTTATTATTTCTGGTGAGAACATTTAAACTCCTCTATTTGAAGAACAGAATATGTCAAATATGTTATATTTGATAACATACAGTAAATTATTGTTGATTATAGATGCCTAGCTTGACTGCACACCTATAGAACTCTAAATCACTAATTTCATCTTTGTAAACCTTATAAAGCAAGTTTCTTGGTGCTATCTTAAGATGTGAAACCCAAAACAAAATAATCAGCCATATCTATATGTACCTCAAAACTTCTACCTAAGCTTTTTTGTTTTTTTAATGTCCATTGATAAGGAACAAATTAAACACAAAGATTAACATCCTTAATGAGAAAAGAACTCTTAAAAATGAATTAGAAAATCTAACCAGAAACTTGGTAAAGGACATGAGCAGATAAGTTACACACCCCATAGAAACACTTGTGTCTAATAAGTAAGATGTTGCAGGTGGGGAGGGGGAAAGGAGGGATGGGGCTAAGGCCCTAGGACCCCCATCTCAGTGCCCTAGGATCTGGCCTAGCTCGATTTTAAAACCATGAGATTGCTGTGTAAAAAGGTCTAAAACAATGCCAAAGAGTAGGTTGCTCAAGAGACTAATTGGACCCAAATTACCTTAGATAACAGTCACTATGGACTTGCCTATATTAAAGTCTGTGCTATCACAAATAATATAACACATGAGGCATGTACTGTGATTACACTGTCATGGAGTGGAGTCGGGGACTAGGAAGGAGGAATAGGAGGGTACGAAGACAAGTCAAATGAGAAGGCAGTTTAGCCTTTGAGCTGCATCAGTTATAGGTAATGTTTATGGTGTCACACAAAAAGTAATATGGCATCCATTTTCCCACAAATTCCAACCAAGAAATTACCTTTTCTGCATAAAGATGCAGCATTATACCCATCTGTTCACCTGTGCACAACTTGGATTAAAAAGCAGAACTGAGGCCATTGCAAACAAGTTTTTTACCAGTAATTAGCATTAATTTTGTAGGCGGTATTTGAGGGAAGTAGCCTCCCCTAAAATCTCATACAAAAAAAGAGCTCTGGGCAATTAAAAAGGCAAAAGTAATTTGTCACCAAAAAAGTAATACTTAAGAAAAAGATTGCTAATTTTTAACAGTGTGAGAGAGTAGCATGTGACAGAAAAATAAGACTTGAACAAGAAACCAGGAACCTGGTGAAAACATAGATATACTCAGCCATACCTATTGAAGGATGTCACCAATTCCTTCATGAGAGAGAAGTCAAAATTGTCAAAGTCCTTGTATATTATTTATTGTATATTTGACTTGGTTGTACTTAAATGTACAGTAAATTGCATTTATCTTTTGTACTATAGTGTAGGCTCAACTGTCTTCAATACTTTCGCTGACTTCCTCAAATCTCAGATTAAATGCTAAAATGATTTTTGGGAATAGGTGAACACTGTTAAATTAACAAATTTAGTAGAACCAAGAAAGCAGAATCTGTAGAAGTTTCTTTTAACAAAGCTTTATTTTTGGTTTAAAATCACTTTGACCACATGCTCCAGTGTATGTGTGTGTGTTATATAATATACATATTCTACTGTACTAATACATGTTTTAAACATGCATAAGAAAATTTTTAAAGGATAAAATAAGTATATGCAATATTTTAAAAATATTGTTTTACTAGTGATACCAAAATCTTTTCGCACTCACCAAAAATATGGTATT